GGGGTAGAAATATGTAAACTGGGACAAGAATCCTCTAGTCAGGAAGTCTTTGCTCAACCCCCACCACTTTTTTTTTGAAAACTTTGAAAGAGATAGTCTAGTGGTTAAAGCATCAGGCTGGACACCAAAAGACTGTGAATCCCAGTCCTGCCTTAGGCATGAAAGCCAGCTGCCATGCTCTCTCAGCCGAACCCATCTTACAGGTTGTTACTGTGGGGAAAATAGGAGGAGGAAGGAGTATTAGGTATGTTCACCGTCTTCATTTTTTAATGAAAATAATAAAGGAGAGATAAAATATACACATCAACAAATTAAACTTCACAGAAAAGAATCCTTGCAACTTACGCTACTTAAAAATACAAACTTTCTTGGACTAGATTCTCAACAGCCTTGACAACCTCCATATATTTCATAAAACCAAATTCTTCAGAATATTACTTATGTAAAAAGAAACATAAGGATGCTCAAAGAAATTCATTGGAGAACTTACTACTGAGTACTATATTCATGTCTGACATTGAATTAACAGGAAATATCACTGGCTACTGCATAATGCCCAACAATAAAGCTAACTCAGTATTTATACTGAACCTAACAAGCATTCAAAGCAAGTCACAAATGTTGTCAATTCTCTTTAGAGAAGTCCCAAAGTAGCCTAGCACCCTTATAGTCCAGCATGTGAAGCTGACACACAAAAGTTCCCAAACTGTAATTGATGGGAGTGTTTGAATAGGATTCCATAGCTCAAATGTCACATTCTTAGCCAAAAGCACAGCACAAGCATTCAGTGCGCAACTAAGCATGCTCAGGAACTGAGTAAAAAATTCAAAGGCCTACAGTATCATGCCACTCATGTGACACCTCCATTAAAAAAAAGGACGAAGACAAAAAACAACAGGTAGAACCTAAATTACTGTTTAATACCTAAAGGAGCATAAACATGGAGACAGAAGAGTATTCTATAAGTAGAAGCTAAAGGAAGAAGCATTTTCTCTTATTTTATTTTTGCCTGCTATCCAGTGCACCTTTCATGCAATTTCAGAGCTTTCATCTTCTAGAACGAATTTAAGGAAGGGATTCACAGGGGGTATAAGTAGAACCAAAAAGTTGGAATTCCTGTTCTAGGAACAGAATTCAAATAATAAGAGTCTGAATTCAGCACAAATAGTTGTTTACTATACCAACATTAATAATATGCTAGATGTTGCAAGCATATTATGATCATTTGTGAGAATTATATTAGCTGCATTTTTTATTTTATATCAAGTGAATATATACTACAGACAATGGGAGATACAAGAGAAAAAATAAACAATATATTAGTTTGATATATAAATTAATTGATCCTTCCAAAATCAATTATATACATTACATTTCTCAAACAAAGAAATAGCTATAAAACACACAGAACACTGTATTGGTTTGAAAATGGGTCCATATAAATTTCAAAACCAAATGTTTAATTAGTGCCTTGCTTTCAAACTTTAAGCGTGATGCAAGGCTTTAATACCAAGGTTTCGAAATAAGACTTTGAACAAAGACCTGAAATATTGTATCATACATTGGCCGTTTCAAAAGTAACATTAAATGATATAAGATATGCATTGTGAGAATGGGCCTGAGACTCATGAGCCTCTGCTCTGCTCTTCTCTGATCAAAAAGTCCAATTTCTAAGCATGAGCTAATGTTCACTATACTTCTGGGTTCAGTTATATTGGTAGATAACTGAATACAATCTTTCAAATTGCTCCTTATAGACATGCCAGAGATAGAGGGGAACATCAAGACCTAATGCAGGGGTCCTCAACCTTGGCAACTTTAAGACTTGTGGACTTTGCTGGCTGAGGAATTCTGGGAGTTGAAGTCCACAAGTCTTAAAGTTGCCAAGGTTGAGGACCCCTGACCTAATGTATGCCATATTATGCCACCTTTTCATGTTTCATCCAAAGTGACCAGTGGGGACAGTGATACAGAGAGGCTGCTGTTCAGTGAATGTAAGCCTAAAGCCTCCTGGTCTAGAAAAAAAATACTTGCAACTTTTTTCATTTCCTGTGTGTTGCTGCAAACATACATGATCATTTCAACTGGAAGGTAACATTAGTTTTATTCTCAAATGAAGGTAAAATACTCATTTGTTACCATCTTAACATCATTAAAGTAAAAGAAAGTTGCTTATGGGATCCTGAAAATCAATTGTATTATGTGAGCAAAATGAACAAAGATTTGTGGCACATTGCTGACTAATTCTCATTACTGAACAAACTTTTGTAGACTGGAGTCCACTTCAGATGTACAATCATTCACTTTGCCCAGGATATACTGATTATACAGCAAAAAACAACAACACCCCAACAGTTAATAGAGAGGATACAATTCAAACTAGGCGTAGGATTGCCGATTAGGAAAAGTGCTGTTATAGGACTGTTCAGGATAAGAGTGCATGCTTATGATTAAATATAATATCTCTACCAGCGGGACCAACTTTTGTGCTCAAAATCAGGATGCTTTGAAGGTAAATTTTAAGAAGAAAGTTTTATTAGATTGGTTAAGAGTTTGGTAAAGTGGATGAAGGAAAAATGGTCAGAGCCCCTGTTTGTTTTTACCTGCAACAGGTGTCAACTGCGGATTGAGCATCCCCATTGGTGTTGGTGGCGGCACCACCCCCATAAGAGCCCCGACAGGAGTGCCTGCCCGGGGGGAAGAATTCTGCTGCTGTTGCTGTGCTGCTCGTTCTCTCTCCTGCTGCTCAGCAACCTTAGCTGCCCGCTCTGCAAAAGTATTTTAGATTTTCAGTTCTGTTTTATGACCCAGAATTTTAAAAAAAAAAATATTCTCTGATCATTTAGCCTTATGTAGGAAAAAAAAGCCCACACAATTTTAGTAATACAGTATATAATTTTGAACTTATTCAGTTGCAAACAAAAAAAAAAGAATATATGAATTCTTTTAAAATTCACAAAGATCTCAAGAAATATGGGCTCAGATCGGGACAACCATGGGGAGAAGAAAAGACCGGGAGGCTATTTTTCTGTGTCTGCCTCCCTTCTATGCTTCCCAAAATCTTCTCCTATTTGGAAGCAACCGACTATGCACAGCTACAGATTTTAAGGGAAAAATGTGCTCTGGAACATGTGGGCTCTCACTCACATAGCATCTGTCTGCAACTTCTTAAAGCAGATGTATGTTTTCACAGCCTCATTTGGCTGCCTTCTGCAGCTGCAGCATGTTCCTGGGGGGAAAGCAGATTTGGTTTAAGGTTCCAATGCACTTTTTTGCCTTTGAATCTGAAGTTCTGCTGAGTCCTACCTGATTGTGGAATTGTGCAATAAAATAGATAGGGATGTGCTACAGAAGACAGGAAGGAGAAAAAAGTATTGGTTTGCAAGCTTGCTACCTCCTTTGTGATTTCATAATCTAAGCCATGTTCTTTCTTCTTTATCATCTTTTTAAAAACTGCAACACTAAAAGTGTTATGAACAGAATGGCAGCTGTTTAATGCTAAATAATATATGTATCTGGACATCAGTCGTGCAGTCGTGTGACCACAGGGTACAATGGATTTGCTGAAAACCAGCACTTATTTCTGATTTTCAATAAAACTGCATCCATAGTGAACTACTAGTTCTCTTATCAATTGTAGCATTCACTTAACGACCATAAGATTTGCTTAACTGCAAAAAAAGGTCAGTCAAAAAATCAGGTCAGTCACATGACCAGCCCACATTACGACTGTCATGAGTTACCACCATGATGGGCAGACTCCATTAAAGACATAACTCAAGGACTACCTGTAAGTGAGCTATCCATTGTCTACAAATCCACTTTGATTTTCGTAGAATTAACCTGTTATTACTACTACTAAGGCTGAAGTTGATAAAAAAGACTCGTTTATTAAAACACTTTATTTGCTCTTTACCAAATTGGCAATACAATGGAACCTCAATTCAGCAGACTTTGATACAACAGATTTTGCAATCAAAGGACCACGACTCAAATTATGCAGATGCAAATGAGGTAATGTATGCAATTAATATCATCACTCAAATGACAACTGATGCAAAAGATATAATCTGTGTCATTTAATAAACTATTATTACATAAATTGTTGCAATTATGTAGTTTTGTATTTAGTGCATATTCGTATATAGCGGACATCTACTTCCATTTAATCTATTAAAATAAGATTTCCCCGAATTGTTAATATGTGTTGTTAAAGGAACAGCAAGTGTGAGCTTTCTCCTATTTCTCTCTATGTTAAGAAGTTTTTAATGCTTTTCTCTTATTGTGGTCCTTCAGTAATGTTCTTTTAAGTTTTTATTATAACACATTTGATGCATTTGGTAATTTAAACACATCTTTAGCTGTTTACAATTAGGGTAAATTTTACTAAATAATATAACATCTTTTTAGGTGGCAATGTTTACTTCTCTAAAGTAGTATTTCTTAATGTCATTGCAAAATGTCTGCACTACAGATATGGGCTTAATGTTGCCACTACTCACCCTAACCTTTTGGAGGAAAACTATGAACAAAGGATTTCTCTCTTATTTCCAAGATAAATGATGAAAATATTGTTAAAAAAATCAAGAATGGGGTAAGCATTTATACATTATCTGATTGAAGACTCATTTCCTATTGTACCATTTCAGTTTTCAAAACGCTTCTGTATATTAGTCAAATAAGAAAAGGGTGGGTTTTGTATTAAAAAAAACAGGATAGGAATATAAGTGATAACCCATTCAAACATATATTTAGGGAACATGAAACCAAACAACACAAGGAATGCTACACATATATCATCTATTGGGGGGTGGAAGGAATAAACAGTAAGGATACATAAGAATTTCTTTAGTATCTACGATGGATGTATGATTCATATCAAAGGCAGCATTCATTAGTGAATCAGGAAAAAAGTAATGTGTTCTCTTTTGATTTAACTAAGAAAAAACATGAATTAACTATTTTTATAAATGATTGTTTAAAAAAAAACATCAAACTGAAACAATTCTAAAGATACTTTCATGAGTTTAATTTTTTTCATACAAATTCTATTAACCTGAACTTGGACTATGACCAGAAAAATAGCAGACAACATTTCACAAATGATTTTGACTTAAATATTTGTGCTAGATATAAGCAGAAAAGAGAAGGAAATTATAGTAATGACAAAGCATTTAAAAATGATTAGTAGAAGCAGGAGTTAAACTTTGTAGTTTCATTGCCAAATTCAACATATCCAATCCCAGTTTGTTCAAACCAGGGCTTGCAACGACTGAGATGAAATGAAATGTTAAAGGCATGATAGGACTCTTTCTTTCATTTGTTAATCTATTCTTCTTTACTTATATTTACTTATTATTCAGCTCAACAGAAAATTTGCCAGGAACAATCTTTAGATGTGTGATGCTTTTTACATGGCATGTCAGGACATTACATTTTAGTTTAAAGCAAGGCTGTGCATTTGGCTGAATTTCAAACAGAACTGAACGGATTTGGAATTTGTGGAATTGAAGCCTTTGGAGATAACTTGGAAGCTGCAGCTGATACAAAATGCAGGCTCAGATTAGCAATCAGAGAGATCCATTAGGATTCTGGGCCCAATTAAGAGTGTTGGTTGTCTCCTAAAAAGGCTTATATGGCATGGCATTGGGATATATCAAGGAATACTTTACCAAACATGTTTCTGCCCATCATTCAAACATTCAACACTGGTGGCACAGTGGTTAGAATGCAGTATTGTAGGCTAACTCTGTCCACAGCCAGGGGCTCGATCCTCACCAGCTCAAGGTTGACTCAGCCTTCCAAGGTCAATAAAATGAAGACCCAGATTGTTGGGGGCAATATGCTGACACAATAAACTGCCCATAGTATTGTAAAGCACTATGGAGCAGTATATACAGTAAATCTAAGAGCTATTGCTCTTGCTATCAAGGGGGAGCTTGCTCAAAGATTACTTTCTCCCATCAGAGATTAGAGGGACTTAGACCAAGAGATGGGCCCTTCTTGATATTAGCTTCATTTAACAAAACAAGACACAAATGGCTCCCTACCCTTCTTATATACAGGAAACTCTTTAAAGCAATTTTATTTCAACAGACTTTTAGGTATTCAGTGTATATTTTTCTTTGCTATTTTTGTGATTATTATAATTTTGAATGTTTTGCTTTTTAAGCACAGAGATATTCATTATAATTTGGTTTGCTCTTTAGCAGATCAGCTCTTTAGCCAATTCAGAGGAACCTCTCAGGTGTAAAAATCAATATTCATCACATAAGGAAAATGCCAGGGGAAAGAAATATGTAGCTTGCAATTGATAGCACTAACTTTTAATTGTAAATGGTTTACTAATGCTATCCAGTAAGTAATATATCCTGACCCTATTTTGCACAAAAAAGCCTGAAAGAACACACTCTGTAAGGAAACATAATGCAATTCTGCAAAGGAAAATGTATCAGTAACTTCCATGTAAAATAAAGTGTTTAGCACAATCCCCATCTTGCCCTATTCACTTGACATAATATATTACTTTTTCTTAAAATACATCCAATTCTGTCCAAGTGAAAATAGTGTACTTTTCATCCCTGTAAACCCATAGTTGATTAAATGTAGACATTAAATTTTCTGTGTCAAAACTAACTTCTGAATCAAAGTGGGTAGTCTATAAATAAATCTAGGACACAGCGCCCCATTTTCAAAGCCTCAAAATTAAGATTCAAATCAACTGTTGCTGTATATGACTGTCTCTACTCAAAACACAAATCCAATTAAAATTATTTTCCATTATTTATTAAAAAGTATTTATTGACATACAAATTCTGTGGCATTTTATATTCCGTAAATGACATTTAAGAAGGAAAATTGTAATCATGTTTCCTTCTCATTTTTAATGTACTGCGTTTCCCTGAAAGTAAGACCTAGCCCGAAAATAAACCCTAGCTTGATTTTTTTGGGGGGGCTAATATAAGCCCTACCCCAAAAATAAGTTTGGGGGTGAGGCGCATGCCTAAAAATCAAGCTAGGGCGGGGGTATGGGGGTTGGAGCTTACCATTGCAGCCAGGTCTCCCATGGATCGACACTTGCCTCGCCGGCCCACTTCTTCTGCGGCTGAAGGAGCAGCTTCATTCTGCAGTTGGCAATGGAGCTCGGGCCTGCATTGTATTCAATCCGTAGCTAGGTTCTCGGCCGCAGAGGCCTTTCCAGAAGGCTCTGATTGCAAAATGCAGACCGGAGCTCCATCCTCAGCTGCAGAATGAAGCTCCTCCTTCGGCCGCAAAAGAAGTGGTCCGGCTGGGTGGGGCTGTCAGTGCTGCCGCCGCGGGGTGAGTGGAAAAGACATCCTCTGAAAATAAGACCTGGTGCCTCTTTTGGAGGTGAAAAGAATAAATAAGACCGGGTCTTATTTTTGGGGAAACACTGGTAGTTTCAGACTGGATTATCTTCTTTGTCCATTTGCAGGAACAGTACAAATTACTTGACTTTGTTTTAGCTATTATTTGCTCCACCCACACCCAAAATGACTAATAAAATTTAGTCACAGAAGAAAGTTTTGGGATCAAGCTTTACACATTTAGAGCCAGCACACTGAAATCAGGAGTTCACTATTCCTTGATTTTAATAGGTCTATTCTAAATACAACTAAACCAGAATCCAACCCATGGATTCTAATCAAAATAAAACACAGGATTAGTGGAAACAAATAGTTAACTCCCACAGGTCTTATATAATAACAATATCAACAACAATATAATAACACATTATGAAAAGAATGATCCCAAATCACAGATTATATATGTTTCGAAAGACAGAAATCAACAGGAACCCCTAATTTTTATTTGGAATTATGCAACAGATATATGTTCTTAGTTCTATGGAGGAAAATTACTTGAAATGATAATTGAGTAGAACGATTTTTTTTGCAAATAAATGATATAATAAATTCATAAGTTAAAAACTAAATGGAAGAATTAAAGATCCAATACAAAGTTTAATCTAAAAATTCAGTTTCTTCTGAAATAATTAAATTTTTCGTTCTGCAATGTTTATAAATTTATTTTCCAACAGTACAATAACTTTAAATATTTTAGGACTGGGATTAGGAAAATATGTTTTTTAAATATATGAAGATTTATTGTCAAATTTAAAAAAATGTTGTTTAAACAACTAAATCACTATGACAAAGTATTAAGAGCACATCTGGATTCAATAACTTAAGTAAAATACAAAATTTCATTAAGTTGCAATTCTTTGTTTTATATAAGTAATGAAAGGATGGTTTATTTTTCTACAGAGACTCATTTTAGTTGATAAGTAATCTTATTGTATGTTTTACTATATCATACATCCATCTCAGACTTACAGCTGAAAGTTTAGGAACAACATATACATGAAAAAGACTCAGTGCCCTTTCCTGTTCTATTTTGTCTTTCAGATTTGAACAAATATACTTTTTCACATTATGCCATGCCTTATTTTCTTGTTCTCTTATTCAGTAACAATATTTAAGTATACTTTTCTAACTCTTTCTTTCAATGTGCTTTAAGACCAGTAACAGAATACCTGGACCAATTGTTTTAAATTACCATACAGATTTCAGATTTCTTTCTCTATCCTATGCCTGCTGTAATCTTTTCTTGGGTCTACTTTTCAGTTTTTAATCTTGTTTCATTTCAATTACTTGGTATTCTCTGATTCAGGTCTCTGGTTGTATTACTTCTGCTTGTGTAATTTCCAAACCCCTCTGTTAGTTTCACCATCACTAATGTACTGTATCTAATTTATTATGGGCAGCCCAGGATGTAATCATTTACCTATTTAACGTTTTCAAGACATAAATTGGACTTGCCTGTTTAGACATTGCATCTTTTTTTCTGATTTAGATTTACCTTCATACTCTGCTTTCTTGGAGGCTTCCAAATTTCTCCACTCTGTTCCAACCAGTCTGCTGAGTTCTCCAAAGGAATAATCTGGGTGCTGAGCTTTAATGACAGCTCTCATCTCACTGCTAAACAAGATGTATCCGCTCATATTGATCTTCCTTTTAGAGCCTTCTTTTTTTACGCTGCCTTTGATTGACTTCGGAGTGGACTACAAAGTAAAAAAAAAAAAAAAGAGGGAATGCAATAAATGTATAGAAAATTCATATGTATTTATTTAATACAGATGTATTTATTTGCCACAGATCAGCTATTTTGACCATTATAGAAGTGCTTTGAGTTTATTTATGTAGAGATCACCCAACTTCCATCACAACTCTATGTGAGCTATAAGCTGTAGGATAGTTATAAGGATATATTACACTTTATTATGAATTTGAAACCTTCTGTAAATTCTTAGTCACAAAAAAATTAAAATGGGGAACACACAGATGCCAGGTACTCTACCTGGATGTTACAGTAACATCATTGGCTCTAAGATCAGTAGAATCTTCACAAGCTGGAGTGTATCTGCTACAGATAGTCCTTGACTTACAACCACAATTGAGTCCAAAATTTTGTGAATTCTACCCCATTTAATGAGCTTTCTTGCTACAGTTTTAAGTGAATCACTGCAGATATTAAGTTAGTTAACATGGTTGTTAAGTGAATCTGGCTTTCCCATTGACTTTGCTTGTCAGAAGGTCGCAAAAGGTGATCATGTGACCCCAGGACACTGCGACCATCATAAATACATGCCAATTGCTAAGCGTCTGAATTTGGGGGTTGCTGCAGCAGTTGTAAGTGTGAAAAATGGTCATAAGTCACTTTTTTCAGTGCAGTTATTTAATGAACGGTCACTAAATGGTTTTAAGTCGAGGACTATCTGTATTGGTTATTATTCAAAAGAGTTATATAGCACACTTTAGAGTTAACAAATGTTTAAGGCACCAGCTAGAAATCGGGAGACAATGAGATCTAGTACTGCCTTAAATATGAAAGCTGGCTGGTGACTTTGGGCCTGTCACTGTTTTTCAGCCCAAACCATCTCACAGGGTTGTTGTGAGGAAAACAGGAAGGAGGAGGAATATTAGGTATATTTGCTGCCTTCAGTTATTTATAAAAAATAATAAAGGTAGGATAAAAACAAAAAATAAATTACTTTTTACAGCAATCAAGAATGTTCATTTTTATGTTTCACAGTACCACAAAGTTACATTTTCCCCCAACCTATATGCCTGTATGGATTAAATAATGGCTGATGGTAAGGTTTCTCCCCAGTGATGTCTACTTATCCTATGAGATCTGCCAGGAGAGGTTTGTTCAGGGCCCATCTATAAGTGCCACCTGACAGGGTTCAGGAAGAGATGTTTTTCTGCTGTGGTACCTGTTCTCTGGAACATCATTCTCCTAGAAATCAGATTTGTCCCAACCGTGTTAGCTTTTCACAACACATTAAAAACCTGGCTTTGCCATCAAACATGGAACCCTGATACTATTTCTTGGCCTTGGTTATGTTAACTGAACATTCCCAGGTTTGTTATGTTTTCTCTGTTGTTTTAAACTTAGTTTTCTTTTTATTATGTTTTTATTTTTTTTAACTCTTAGCCATCCAAAGTCATGAATATGACGTGGGTAGCCATATACATTTATTTAATAAACACATGAGTGCATTACAAAAATATCTTCATTTTGCCAATATGATTTAGTAAGTCATATTACCTGTGGTGGAGTATATGGCATTATATCCAATTCATTGGAGAGCGGAGTCTGCAGTTGAGGTATGGTCGGTGCTTCTGTGACTTCACCTTCCTCTTCCCCAATCTCTTCAATATCCTCTTCTCCACCTTCTAACTCAGCAAACTTTGCTTCTAGCTGCTGAATTTTTTTCTCTAAAAGTGGAGATGGCTCCTTCTGTGGAATAATGGGTTTCCTAGAAAAGAAAAGAAAAAGTATATATTTACTAAACACAGTCTTTATCTTCATTAGAACACAGAAAGAAGCAATAAATAGTAAAACAAACAAATGCTAGGTGCCAGGTCAGGGAAACATAGCTAAGCCCAGTTTACATCAGTATCTTCCACTATCCCTCTCCACATCTTTCTGTCCTTGAAAACCATCTTTGCTTCAACCACACCCATATGCTAGCTAATACACACACTGTGTTTGCTCTTTATGGTCGCCCAGTTTTTAATTCAGTCCACACTCATACTTAACCCCACTTCTTCTTGTTCAATACATAAACCTCTAAAGTACATCAATCCTCCTGCATTGAACTTACTTTTATGTTTCTCCTGACAAAGCCAATTTCTAAATAAACCAGTGGGCAGAAGCATGCTGTTTCACACAACCATTTTAATGTTTTTTTCAACTACCATTCATTTATTGCATCAGATTACATACCACTCTTGTTTTTCTACCGTTATTTGCCTATATTAATATTTTTCCATCCATTTCCACATCTTTAATAAACATTGTACCAAGATACAGAAATTCATCTTGCTCTAATTATTCACCATTTATGTAAAACGTATAATCCTTTATTATTTCTTTCTGTCAAATGTCGGGACCTTATATTAATTTTCAAATCTATATGAGTTATTGCACCACACACTTTAACTTTTGCTGCAAATCATTTGGGTATTTTCTATCTATAAAGCATATATCGTTCATACTTTTAACCAATACACCTCTAATGACACCACAAGTATTTCTTATACTTTTATCCATAAATGCTTTAAAAAACCAAAGGGACAACACATTCTTGTCTTATTCCTTACTCATTTGTTGAAACGTTTATTCCAATCATTAACACTAGTTTTAGTTCTGCCATATATTGCCCATATCACAATCAGACTTCAAACCCTTATTTGCACAACACATTCCATAATTCAGACTTGCTTATTTTAACTTACAATGTCTCTAAATCAATTAACATACGATACGCTATCTCATGCAATTCTTACCTGCTAAAAAGCAAAAGGAATCTGGAGCTTGCACATACTCTGAATGACATACTATGTTTCCCACATGTTGCTCATTATCCCCTTTTTTATTCTTTCAATCATAATACTGTCAAACACCTTCCCAGACATTCTTAACAATTAATTGCTTTCTAACTTCTACATCCAAAAAGTTGTGATACTTCAGGTCCCGCATACTTCAGGTCCCGCCTCTTAATGTCACTTTATGGCAGTGGTTCTCAACCTTTTTAATGCCGTGACCCCAACCGGTAGTAAGTCAAGGACTAAACCGGTCGTAAGTCGAGGACTAAACTGGTCGTAAGTCGAGGACTACCCAACCGGTCGTAAGTCGAGGACTTTCTTGCCCGGGAGCGCCGCACATGTGTGGTTCCGCCCCCTGTGCTGGCCGAGGCGTACCTGGCAAGCGGCAGAGACGGAGCAGGCCGACCACCAGCTGGCCCAGCCCAAGGGAGGTAAGGCACCCGCCGGAAAAGGGGGGAAAAATGGCGGACAAAAAAAATGGCGGACAGCCTTGCTTGGCGACCCCCATGAAATGGTCGATCGACCCCAAATGGGGTCCCGACCCACAGGTTGAGAACCACTGCTTTATGGGAACCAGATGTCCCATCTCTGTCACCATACTTGCTGTTTTTCTTTTTTAGCACCCTGTAATCTCTTAATTTGGGGTAGAGTCAGAGCAAATGGAGCTGAGTGTTTACTAGCCGGATGCCCTTCCTGACGCTTACATGCATGGAGTTTGCAACACATATTTTCTCTTTGCGCCCTGAGAAGCATCTGCTGTTCCTAGGATTGAACTCTCAACCTTCTGAATGGGAGATGAGTGTCTTCACCTAGGTCACTCTGCCACTCTGCCACTATTCCTGCTCTAAGGTATACCATTCCCCCTGAAATCTGGATTAACCGAACCCTGCTGCCTTTTGTAAAACTCTGAAGGCCCAGTTTTCCTTCCCAGGCATTTGGTCAGGACCCAGTCCAGGATGTTTTGATTATTGGACTCGTGAAATTTGTTTTAACTGTGCAACTCAAGAGTCATTTTTGAGATGGTAATTACATAAATTGTTTAAACAAAATAAAATTAAATAACGAATACATTTCATTTGCTATCCTTGAGGCCTATAATTAAATTTTCTTCACCTACTTCCAAAACATTCCAAAACAAGTTTCCATGAAAATCATTCTGCCGTTTGTCTCGTTTTAATTTTGTTTCTTGTTCTGTTTGATTTATTGTTTACAATTATCCTTTTCTCTACATACACATTAGACAATATTATAATGTGTATACAGAGAAAAATATAGTTGTAAAAAATAGAGCAGAGAATGAGAAGTGAGTCTGATTAGATGAGGGTACCAGTAAAACATCTATCCTATTCCGTGGTGATAAGAGTAGCAATGTATAATTCCTTCTCTGCTAATTTGGTGTCGAGGTTAAGAAACCAGGCTAGAAACCAGAAGACTGTGAGTTCTAGTAACACCTTGGGCTTGGTATCCTTGGGTTAGTCACTTTCTCTCAGCCCTAAATTTCAGGGACTTGTCCAGCTTTGAATTGGAAAAAGCATAGGAGACTTTTGAGCCTATCTAACTCAGGGAAACAAGACAGGCCCTTTGTGATTTTAATTTCACTGCATGTGAAGTAAACCTCTGTAATTTTTAGTTGGATAAGGGACCTGAGAGGGGACACAGACCTGGTTCCAGGCAATAATTAATTCACTTGAGGAAAGGAACAGTTCTAATAGTTTTGAAAGTGATATTGGTCTACTCTGTTTTAAGCTGCCTCTTTTGGATCCAAGACAAATGGAAACCTATTCTCCTATGCTCAACTTCCCCTTTTGGTTATTGAGAAAGTGGAGGAGGAGCAATTACAGTGAACTCTGGAGGTAGGAGATTATTGGGATTTATAACAATCAGAATTCAGCCCTGGGTATGGAACAGACACTGCACTAATTGCTCTCATCAATGCCTTATCGTGGGAATTATGGGAAGGAAATAAAATGTTATTGCCCTGCTGGACCTCTAAATCACCTTCAACATTGTCAGCCACAGTAGTTCTATAATTTTACTGGAAAGAGGTATTCATCTCTGTTGTATGATCAAATTAAGTTATATTATTTTTATTAAAAAATTAAAACATACTTTACCTGAAATAATAAATTTCATCATCTACTACCTTAGCAGACAAAGAAAATCTTTTTAGTCCTTTAAATTTTTTCATCTGTTTGTCACTTTCATTATAGCGACTTTCACAGAGAAGAACATCATTTTCATGAATTTCAGTTGGTCTGCAGCAAAGAAAGTCTTTGAAAGACAGAACAGCACATTTTCCTAAAAGAAAGGATAAATAGCTGTATTTTATTCATCATAGCATAACATTTGTAATATGTCTGAAATTTTTGAAATATCAAAATGTGTGTGGCAATCAGGGTGATTAACTGCACTCATAAGCCATACAGCAACTAATGTCAAATGTGCTGCATACAACTACTGGTTCCTAATGCGACATGTGCTTATGCGGTCATCGATTCAACAGATACCAAATGAGCATCCTTAATGCAGACACAAAACTGTATCTGCTGTCCAATATTCCCAAAAGTTACTTCTCTAGAAAAGAACCAGATGGTTTTCAGAGTCTATTTCTTCTTTCTTGTTAGCAAACTAAAAACTAAAACAACTTATTTTTTTAAAGAAATTTCATTATTATAAAACTTTACTTTGCAATTTTATTAATTTAAGGAAGTGACAACTTTTTTTAACTGTACAATTTGAAACATAATAATAAAATTTATTTTATTGTTTCATTACCCAGAATGCATGTCATCGGGCAAGTCTCTTCCAAGTTACTTAAAAATACTTCCTTCTTATAAAACATTTTCGTTGGCTCATGTTCTGTTTCTTCTGGGTGAATAAAAATTGGACCAAAGAAATAGGCAGCTCCATCTCTAACCCACATTTTTTCTATTCTGAAAATATAGAAAAATCACTGCTTCAAAGTATTTCAAATTCAATTTTAACATTTCCTTTCAATTAATGTATTGATTGACTATGCTATGAAATCATTGCGGACTCTTACCAAACCGCACAGATAATTTTTCTTCAAGATGATATTAATGTATTATATGACAGTTATATTCCTTTTTGCTGCTGTACCTTCTGCAACTGCAGATACTCAAGTTATGTCCACAATTGAGACCAGAACTTCTGTTGCTAAGCAATGCAATTGTAAAGTGGGCCATCATGCGATTGCATCACTGCACTGCATCATTTAGCAATGGCAAAATGGCCTACTCTTCCCACTGCAGTTTTTAGCTGAGGATCAACCCTAATACACAGCCTTCCATCCTTCCGAGGGTCGGTAAAATGAGGACGCAGATTGTTGGGGGCCATGTGCTGACTCTGTAAGCTGCTTAGAGAGGACTGTAAAGCACTGTGAAGCAGTATATTAATCTAAGTGCTATTGCTATACCATTTTTTAAAAAAGTTGTACCTGCCAACCCTTGCTCGGACTAAACCATGCGATTTGATGAAGACACAATCTCCGACCTTTAACCACATATCATTGTAACAAAGCTGTTCATAGTAGTGACAGCCAGGTTCTCCGTTTGACATGTCTACTGGAACGTCTTCCTTATCCTGAAATACAGAAACATTTATGAACTAGAAAAAGTAATGCAACTGATATTAGAGAGTAAGTGTATTGGAAATCTTCAGCAACATCCAGGGGCAATGTTTCTGTAGGATCACCAATGTCCATATAGAGGTCCAATATATAATGTATAAATTACTTTTATTTATCTCTACACATACAGTTGCCTTTGCCTCCAAAAATAATAAAATTATCAAAGTGTATGGGAAATCTGTCTCAAAGTCAGAATTATCTGTGTCCAGATAAATTCAAGGTACTCACATTCCCATTTTAATAACTCTTTCCTGTAAAATAAATACCTTTTCAAGACTAAGAACAGTTTTGGTATCCTCCGATGCGTCGGTATGTTTTTCTTCATCAATTTTGTCTATATTAGCAAACACTGATGCAACACGAATCACAGGTAAGGGCACTTCTCGAGGGACAAATCGTACAGAACTAATTGGCATAGTCCACAATTTAATTTTCTTAAAAGACTTTGTCTTTGCAGAATAACGTGATTCACAAACATAGACATCTTCATCTCTGAAGTTTTCTGGACATAGCTTAAAATATTCCTGTAAGATGGAAAGAAATGAAAGTTAGGGCAATACACAGACATGCAGACAGTAGAAAATAGCCAGCACTTAATAATAATAATAATAATAATAATAATAATAATAATAATAATAATAATAATAATAATAATAATAATAATAATAATAATAATAATAATAATAATAATAATAATAATAATAATAAAGTTGGAAGGGACCTTGGAGGTCATCATCAGGTTGGGGGACGAGTCCGTCCTTTGGGATATGGTAAAGCCTGTTTACCGACAGGTGTCTCTTCTTAAAAACTTCCAGTGTTGGAGCATTCACCACTTCTGGAGGCAGGTTGTTCCACTGGTTAATTGTTCTCACTGTCAGGAAGTTTCTCCTTAGTTCTAGGTTGCTTCTCTCCTTGATTAGTTTCCACCCGTTGGAAACTAATTTACTGAACACTATCAAACACTTTACTGAACACTATCAAATAGAGTAATTAAACTGCTGCTTTTTGCAATTCAGGCCTCTCAAGGTGACAGCAGTGTTGAGTTCCAACAAATAAGAAAGGATTTCCCATCCTGATTCTATCCTGTCCTATCCCTCGAGCCTTGTTCTTCCCTTGAAGTATGTTTAATCTAATACTACAGTATTAGAAGCCACTGCAAACCTGAATGTTTTAGTTATATAGAGCAGGGGTCCCCAGCCCCTGGTCCGTGGATCAGTACCGGGCCGTGGCATGCCAGCAACCGGTCTGCACAAACAAGGAAAGCCTCATCCACAGGATACAGATAGCACACAAAATCACGCCCCTTCCAGTCCGTGGAAAAACCTCTCTCCACATAACTGGTCCCTGGTGCCCAAAAGGTTGGGGACCTCTGATATAGAGGGATAAGGCTAATTTCTGGAAACTCGAAACCCAAAGGTGGCCTTTTTCTCTTTCTCTTACAAAAAATCCATTACAATATGAGAGGAATTTTTGAATCTCTTGTCAAAAATCCCATCACTGGGATTATCCTTTCTCTCTCCCTTTAAATAAACTATTGTTTCTAATAACTTGTATCTTAGCTTCTATAAATTAGACACCATTTACAGTTTACTTTCTATTATAAACCAAAAATCAGGGAGACACTAAGACTCTTCAGATATTGCTAAATAGCCCCAGCACTGTCATGCTAGAAGGAGTTGTAAGCAACAATGACAGGGCCAGTTTCCCCATTTGTTCCATTCCCAAGAGTAAGATGCAAGCAAAAGATCAGTATTAATCCCAAGAGTTCAATTAGATTCTTCTCACCTTAACAAACATAACCACACATTTGCCTAGAATTTTGCTCACTGTAACTTTGTTGTAATAATCACTTTTAAACACCTCCTTCTCCAAAAATTTTCTAGTGGCAAGATGGAATGTTTCATTTGGTCGGTAAAACCAGCAGCCATATAACCATTTTTCCCCTAAAAACAAGACAGAGTTTAGCACCTGCAGACAATAAAGTTATTGTACAAAACTATGATAATAATTTTAAGATCACTTTATATTAGACAATTATAGTGTTCTGGTTGCTGTCTGAAGCTTTGCTTAGAAGATTTTTAGCAAATGAAATATATCATTTTAGGTCTGTTATCTTCAGTATTAATATATTCAAAATACCTGGATGAATTTGAAAAAAAAGTAGCCAACTTTTGAGGCGTGTACCCACCTTAAAAGAAATAACACTTAACTACATTTAATTTTAAGAATGAATGAATGGTAAGTTCCCAAAGGAACTAAAGTTGAAAAGGAGGTTACTGTTTATCAGTAATGCTAAAGAGAATAGTAACAGGAACCTGTACCAATCATACACAATGTTGAGAATAACAATCTCATCATCATACCAAAAGGTATCAAATGAAATCAAGTGGAGTTGTCTTTCTGAATTACTTCAAAGAAATAA